TCTTCGTCGTTCGCGTCTTACGAGTGGGCAGGTTTGCTGTTCAAACAACGGCTCCGTCTGTTGTTGCACTGCTATTTACATAATAGTAATAAATAACTTTCACTCGATCAAACCAATCTGGCTAGCACTTTGATTTATTAAAATATCTGAGGGTTGAATAAAATGCAACAAAATACTCATAAGAGAATTAAAGGTAAAGTTTGTTTAAAAGGTCGTGAATACCGAATCACAGGCAATAACAGGTGGCATAGTTATTTCGGGTAACGTAACCTTTGTTAACCTCCGTCTGGGTTATAAAAATGAGACTGCTCATGGAAAATAAGGGTGTTAAGTGATATGAGTGCAGCCGCTGTTGCTGCAACACGGGATATAAGTCAGAAATCTGTATTATTCGGTAAATTTGATGTACCGCATCTTGTAGTTTGGCAAGAGCTCCGACGAAATTGTTATCGGTTGGTCTATTATTGTGGACTTCTTTTCACCCTTTACATCCAAGTGAGTCTGAATATTCGAGGAAAAACAACTTCGTTACTCCAAAGAATTTTCTTTTGCTTTATTAAGAAAAATAACAATGGAATATGCCGTTTTCCTGTAAAGCTCTTATCCCTACATGAAACAACTATTTCGATGCAGGGTAGATGCACCATTTTATGAACTGCTTACCAAAGTATTTAATGCACTTTAGTTTCGAAAAATGAATACTTAAGTGGGATTGCAATATTAATGAAGATACAGCGTAATCCGCAAGCATCTCAGTCACAAAATGCTTATGTGCGGGCTTCCTTCCGGTCATTTGCCATAAACTTCACACTGGACAAAATGACTACTTTTATAGTATGCATTCTTCCACTTGATTCAGATGCCCTGAAATTGAAACATCTTTTTGAAGAAAGAGTCTCTCTGACGAGTATTTTGTAAAATACTGCGTCAGATTCACATCTTGTGCTCGAAGCTTAGGCATATTTTAGTTTTAATACCGCTATAATCTTGCGGTGAGGCTTTCATAACTACATGTGGCGTACTTCTGGTGTATGAAAAATCCTACCTTTCTCTAAACTACTTGGAAGATGTCGCATGGTACTTGTGAAATTTTAGAATCCCTGCTAATCCTATTATAAAAATTTCACGCAGCATTAATTAACAAATAGGAACATGTCACGGCCTTCAAAACTCCTTATGAAAGCGTAACATTTAAAGAAAAAAAGATGCCGATGATGGTGATGATGTAATTTGCTGCGGAATGCATTTATACGTTTTTTTAAAGGATCCTTGACAAAAGTAGCTTATGTAGGTCTACTCATATATCCCTAGTCCCAGCATTTTATCCTGCAAAAACGGCGGTTACAGAGTTTTGCGAGTGGGGAAATAGGACAGGCAGAGAAGGAAATTTTGAAGTGTCAAGTGAAAAAAATGCAGTCGAATTTGCTTCCCGCGACCGCTAGGGGCAAGTTGTTTGTATGTAAATTGAAGGTGTGCGCGGCGCTTTACGCCGCGAACTATACTAATCTAACTCCAGAATGGTAAGTTGTACCTCAGGTAAGTTAAAGTAGACGACCACCTAACCAGCATTTCAATTTTGCGGGAAATTCAAGGAAACTGCATTTTGAAAATCTACAGATATAAATCAATAAAACTTCTAACTACAGTAAAATAAAAATGCATTTAGCATCGGTTAAAGTATATCCATCTTCGTGTCCTGATTCCACACCCATGAAACCCTTAAACCACCATTTTCTTGGGAAAACATGCAGGGAGTATGAATTAATGAGTGGGCCTACATAAGCTACAGTTGCCGGATATTTAAATTTATAAGGGTATACAAAGACGAAAAGGAAATGTATATTTGGTGAATACGCATTGTATTACAATATGCAGCTTTTGCAGCCAACCGAAAGAAAGCTTTCAGTAACAGAACCTAACATGACCTGCCATGCTTTGACAACTAACCTCGCCCCATTTCGACTTTTCTCAACATGCCCCCACATCTAAGATTTATAGCCCAAACTCTCTTTACCTATCGAGTTTCCGTCTTTGAGGTCGACGCTTAATTGGACAGTTAATTATCTTATTAATAGGCAACGGCCATTTGCAGTGGAATAAGAGGTCGCAAAATTATATGACGTCAATAAATCTTGCTAATCTAGTGATCTTCGCTTCGTTCAAATTTGTTCCGGAAAAACAGTGTTTCAACATTACACAATGTTGGTTTGCATCGCATCGGGTAGCAAATCACTGTATTTGATTAAATAT